CATTTTTGGAAACTCACTTCAGGGAGGCACAACCAATGTTTATAATAAAATAATTATGAATTAAACAGATGAGGGGAAGAACTGCCCAAAAAGAATGTATTAGACCTTATTTATACAACAGCAATCTTGGAACAAGGTGTGCATTGTGGGGTAAACTGGGGGAGAAGGGATGGAGAAATGTGCAATTTAAAAAAAGCAATGACTGAGATGGACTGTTTAGGAAAGGGGAACTATTTATTCTTTTATAAAACTTAGGTCTTCACTATCCACACCAAATTCTTCCTCATGTGCTCTAGGTATATTTACTGTTAACAAACCCCCATCTGCTACCAGTAGAAATGTAACCTGACACAAAGCACTATGAAAAAGCTTGACAGTTCCTAAAACAACTGAGCACAGAATTATGTGATCCAGCAATCCCGATCCTTGGTACATTCCCAGGAGTGAAGGTGGGGACACAAGCAGAAACCTGGACATCAATGCTCACTGCACTTGTCACAAGAGCTAAAAAGGGGAAGGCACCAAGATATTTCCCAGCAGATGAACAAAGAAACACAATGTGCCCCCCCCCGCCCCACACACAATGGAACATGGAGAATGCCACTCTGAAGTATGCCACAAAATGAGTAAGCCTTTAAAACATCTTGCTGCTGAACTAATCCGGTTCCAGATCACTGTATGCTGACACTTAAGTGACATGACCCAATGGGTAAAGAGCTGTGGTGCCAACCTAAAGGCAAGCAGTGTAAACCCACCAGCTACTCGATGGAGAAAGAGGGACAATTTCCACCCACGAGTTAGCACCTCTGAAAACCTGCTAGAGGGTCAGTTATTAGTTCTAGCCCCACAAGCTGTTTGAGTTACACAAACAAGGACTTAATGATATCCAAGGGGAAGGTGAAAGTTTCTGAAGGAGCATTGTTTATAGTAAGAGCAAAATAGTATTTTGGTTGTTGTGTCAAATCACCTGCAACTCACAGCGACCCTACATACAGCAGCTCTGAACCTTGCTCTCTGCTGAGCCAGCCTTATTGTCTCTGACACACCTATACCCTCTACCCCAGTCAGTCAATCCATCTCAAGGATCTTCCTCTTGCACAGGCCCTCCACTCTCCCAAGCATGACGTCCCTCTCCAAGCACTGGTACCTCCTTGCAACATGCCCAATGTATATCATACAATGCTTTTGAGTTCTTGCTTCTAAGGTGCAGCTTGGCTTCTTCACCCTCTCTAGGATGGACCTGTTTGTTCTCCTAGCAATCTATGGTATATTCAACACTCTTCTCCAGCACCACAGCGCAAAGGCATCGATTCTCATATCAACCATAGTCATTATCCGGCTTTCTTGATTATTTAGGTAGTAATAATGATAATACAACACAAAAAATATAGACAATGCCACTGAGATGTTAAGTACAGATGTTGACTAATGTTTTGGTGTATTCAGTTCCACAATTGGTTCCTCCTGAAGATGGGAGCCTTGGAGCATTCGCCTGGAAGATGCACTCACCTACACAGGCAGAGGGGGGACCTGGGCCAGCTGAGACGTGTAAGGACATAAATAATAGGAAGAAAACCAAAAAAGTCAGTGCAATAGCAAGGTGAGCACGCCAAAGAAGGAAGGCTGCAGAGATGTGTGCTGTGCAGGGTTTACTGTTTCTAGCCATTCGGCTTTGACTTTCACCATAGCTGGATGGAAACCTCAAATGGGGAGGCGTCAACAACTTCTGATGGGATCGGCCTCTTTTCCCACTCTGCCAGGCTTAAAGTGAGCAGTTTTAGCTGCAGACGAGGCAATCACACTGCCAGCACGCCTCCTTGGGGCCAGTGATTTCTGTGCCTGGCAGAGCAGGAAACCAGAGACTGATAGGAGACGTGGACTTGGGACTGTTTACCCACGGAGCCATGTCTGCTGAAAGACTGGAGTAAGGGGACATGCCTAAACGGCAGGACTGACAGAGTTCCGTACCACTGACCAATGAGACGAAGGACTGAAGGGCAAGGGCCTATGAGCGCACCCGAGAAGCCGAGAAACTGTATCCTGCTTATAAGCTTCCCCACTAATCTCCTTAACAGTGAGCATGGTTCTGAGATGTGTGGCCGTTTCAGCATCTGTGGCCCCAGTGGTGGAGCAGTGGGAGTTCTGGGAGGGGTGTCTGGTGGCTGAACCAGTAAAAACGTCAGTACAGCAGGGCGGGGGCCTGGTGGGAACTGGTGCTGCGTTGTGGATGTTCTTGACAGGGATGTTCCCATGATGGAGTTCAGCTTGTACGCAGGGTGGAGGCAGGGAGAGTAAGTGTAGGTTGAGAAACTCCAATGGAATCCTATGTACAAAGTTCCCCTGCTGGGATCTCAATAGATAGCTCACAGCATGGCTGTAATTTGGCTACCTCTTAACTCTTATTCTGTTTTAGTTGCATCTAAGAGTAGTTATACTAAAATGAAACCTCATCAATCCCTTAGTATATCTACCTCACTAACCATCTTGTTACGCAGCGTTCCACATTTGCAGCAACAGTTCAAGGCCACTTCCCAACTATTTGATACATTAATTGGATTCCCCCGTGTCCGCTCCCAGTCCACAGAACTGCCGTATGAGGTAAGACAAGCATAACAGCCAGCTCTGCAGGCCTCATGCAGGTCCCAGCCCCACCACTGGAACCATCGCAGCTCTTGGCTCTTCTCAGATTTTCAGGGACCCCTCCCACAAAGGCAGGAGTAGCCAGAGGGATAAAGAAGTGAGGGGGTGGAGGGGACTGGAAAGGCCAGCCATCCCCTCCCTTCCATGTGAGCTGTGACACTCCATTCCCACACAGCTCTTACATCTCCAAACTCTTAGATTCCCGGCTCTCCAAGACAAGCAGTCATGGCTCATTTCCAGATTCCCGGCGTCTGTGGTATGTGGGCACAGAGAGCTGAGGCTAAAGAGGCAGCAGCTGCACGGGCATAAGTAGCAATCTCCAACTCTCTGGGCACCTGGCTCCACCCGCTGCCTAAATCTGTTACCAACCACACCGCCGGTCCAGCCACTAGGCCTCAGGTCCATGCCAAGCACCTGCCTGGACAGCAGAGTCTCAGGGTGCCGTGCTCAACAGTGCCACAGACACAGCAGAACCAATGGTCTGCGTGCTGCAGCCACCACCTCACCCTCCTCAAACTCCTGATTTTGCATAATGACCCAGTGTTAGAAGCTACCCATGTCGCTAAGTCAGGCCAGTGTTTACCACCTCTCAGGCTTCTTTTCAGCAGTTGAGGGCTCTATCACTTGGCCACATGCACAAGGGAGTGGATTCACCAGCACAGTGAGGGATGCACTCTCAACCTTCCTGCATGACCCCACCAGCAGGATGCAAGCCAAAGGCACCCATCGGCTGCCAGGCTGTGCTGTCCACGGTGAGGCCGCACAACTGGCTCAAGGGCCCTGCTGATCCTGAGGAGTTACGAAGGACCCGACAGAACTCCAACAGATCGCTCTGCTCGACTCCTCGATGTGCATCAGAATAGGCAGAACTGAGGGAGGCAGTGGGGACTGAAAGATAAAATGCCATCCCCAACATGCCCCTGATAAAGAGGATTTTCCTTTACAGAAAACTTTTCTAGTAGTAAATTACATTCATTAAAACGTTTTAAAACAGCCAACATTTACGAGTTCTGAATCTCTCATTTATTAGACAGCAAGGAAACAACAGTTGAGACTATGTTACAAAAGAGTTCAGACTGCTGAGAAATAACTGTAAAGAACAATTCTTCAGACCATGGCACAAGAATACCAGACTCCTGAGCTTAAACAAGTAAATGGTACAGACACAAGTTTCCTCTAGGGCAGAAACGAGGGATCTACAAACTAAGTAAGTTGTCCACAATGGCCCCAACACATCCCTTAATGGATAATCATGTAGAAGGTAAACCTTACACAGAGAAACCACTTTCATAGGCTGATTAGGTAGACCTGCAATGAAGAAAATACAATTCAAAAAAATGGGTTCAGACTTAACATTTGTTTTCAATGAGATACTTAAGAAATATTTCTCCGTATCAAAAGGATTCTTTGAAAGTACATCATGGATAAATACATTTCATCAAGAACCAAGTTCTATTCAGAGACATACACTTGCAAATGACAAATTTAAAAAAAAAAAAATGTACCGACAACAATACTATTTATAATGACCTAGCCTACTAAGCCAAGCTCGGTTTGTGTTCTGCTTTAGGGCACTGCATTAAAATGAATCTCATTCTCACTGTAATTCTTTTTCTTTTTAACCTTAATCACCAACGGCTGGGAAACTGAAATGGGCATCAGAACTATATAAATGTCAGAGAAATATGTAAACCTCATTAATGTTTCCAAAAATTCATTTAGAGATAGAAACAGGTCCAGATAGATGCCTGCCTAAATGTACTGCAATTACGTTACAATTATTTTCCAAATACACAGATCTGCTCTGTCTTTTCTCAGTTCATTACTGACTCAAACAATTTGCCCTTCTGGGATCAATTGTTTGCTAATAAATAATTGTTTACAGTCATAAAATTATGTTAGGAGGTTTTCTTATTAGTTTTCCTTCTGCACCCTAATAAGATTCAAAACTAGCTGATTCCCAAGAGTCTAACCTTAACCTCGCTTTGTTTAACAGCCCAGGAAATGATGAACCATCTGCTTCAGAAAATAATGGACGGCCAAGAGGAAATATTGTTTAATTGTAGATTAACCTCCTCATGAGGCAGTCTGAAGCAGCTTCAGAATCAGAACTATAACCAGCAAAAGGAACAGCAGCTCAAGGGCCTTTTCCTCTATGAGCTGCAGATGAGGAAGAACACGTAGAGATTTCTATTCCCGTTATTTATTTACAAACAGTGATTTCTACAATGGAAACAAAAATCAAGGTCAAACCGATTCTCCAAAGCATAGTCATCCTGCCCCAACTTTGCTTGTCCAAATACCTTTAACGCTGCAAATCATCATGTACTTAAAGTGGAGGGGTGGGAGGGTGGGGGTGGAAAATTCAATAAAGCCTCTCTTCTATTATTTTCATGTTCTTTTTAATATTACTGTATTTCAGCCTGGTTTCTTTGTTAACAGTAATAAATCCAACACTGGGGAGCACGAATTGTTTTATCGTCATCAACATGGTACTTAAGTAAATCAAATCTTGTCAAGTACATGGTGACCTACAAGTTAAAAAGAAAAAAGAAGGAGAAAAAAAAAGCACATGAGATCAAACTGGCTGGCCAGGACAAGAGCTTCAAAACTGATTAACAGGACTACATGCACAGTCCTTTACCCAAGAGGCTTCACACGCTAAGTCAGCTCTGAAGTCCTGTCTGTGGACTTCTCTACCGGACTCAATGCTCTGCCACCCTTCAGGTACTCAACAGGTCTAGCAAGGGGACCATACCAATTTTAATCCAGGTAAAATACAGAATCTTGAACACATTCAGTTATTTAATAAATATTTATTGAACACACACCCCTTGAGGCTCTAGCAACAGAGGAGCAAAACAGGATAAAGATCTTTGGGCTAAAGATTCTATAGTTTAACCTAAGTATCCACTTTCTTTAAGCCTGGTGGAAAAGGTAAAAGCACTGCCGTGCTGTACCAAAAAAATGGTAAAGATTCCTCAGTTAATAGTACATCTAAGAGTTGAGTACATCTATGAAAATTTCAAAAGTAAGGAAATTTGCTATGCCAGGCAAGACTCCAGGGTTTCCGAGCGAGACCTGGCGGTCACTCCCATTGAATAAATATTAGAAATAACCTCTGTGGAGAGGAAAGCTTTCTGGCAGTTCAAATTCTTAAAGGTCTTAAATAGAATTTGCGGAAGTAAATTATTCTTAAATTCCTCAACTTAATTTTGAAACAATGAGCAATAATGATTTCAGAGATTCAAGTAACAGTGCCTATCCAAGAAGAATGGGAGTTTGACTTTCTTCTCTACAAAACAACTGGGCACAATTTTATCCGTCAGACGTCTATCAACCTACGGATATTGAAAGCTTGGGAGAACAAGATAAAATCAACCCAACCCTACAGTCAGCTGTAATATCGAGCAGGCATCAACAAAGCTATTCATGAATTTAGAAAAATTAATAAATCCTAGGCTGAATGCAAGAAAAGGCTCAAACACAGGTGAAGCACACTCACTTGGGTTTTGTTTCCGCATCTGTCACCTGGCGAATGAAGATCCCATCCTCGGGGTGGTCTGTGTCATCCATTTCATACATGTATGACGATGCTATTGCCAGGGTCGTGCCATCATTACTGAAGGCAAGGGAGGCGATGCTGGTGGGATAGCGGTGGAACTGGCACAGCCGCTTCTTGTTAAAAGGATCCCAGATATTGACAAAGCCATCAGAACCACCTGCAGGTTGTTTCAAAACAGTTTACACCAGATACAGAAAGAATCGTTACCTTAACAAGTCACAAAAGGTATGTTTTCCCCGAAGAGTATTTTCATTACATTTCATTACGCTAAAGAGCAACCGCAACTTTAAAAAAAAAAAATTCTGCTTACATTCCAACGTTTAATGTTCTATTAATAATAAAGTTATAATACAAGATATTAACTACTGTGCCATGCTTTACCTGTGGCAAATGTATTATGGATGTTATGGAAGGAGATGGCATTGACGGGGTAAATCTGCTCAATATTATTCTCCTTTAGTCGATGGCACTTGAAGGCATACTTCTTCTTCTGCACCTCAGGGCTCGGGTCCAAGTACTCAACAGCCACTCGGCCTTCAATAGAGCTTAGGACATAACCCTAAGAGGAGGGACCCAGAAGACAACAAAAACGCGTGAACCCAGCTTCTAAAAAGAAGGCATCAGCTCCCAAATCCAACCCTTCAAAGAAAGATGATTATTGGAAAATAAAATATGGCCAGATTTTAACAAAAGGTTGGGCTATACTAACTGTCATGTCTGTTCCAAGAGTTTCATACTCAGACCTGTTTTGAAAATAGAACTAAGGCTATCATCGCTTGTCTCCCCATGATGCCAGTGTCCAGCAGGCTGCAATTAGTGAGCTGTATATAGTCTATCAAACAAGAATTTCCAATGTTTTTACCTGATTTGTTTTTCTATCTAGGCGGAGACACACGCTTCACCCCTCAGAATACACTGTGCTCTCTAAGTCGTCATCTCTGACAACTCTAAGAAATGGGCTTCCTTCACGGTAGAAGGGGAAATTCATCATCATTAATCCAAATAAACTGAAAACCACTCATTCACTTCTTCTATCTGATTACAGTTATGTTAGACTTTCAAAATGGTCAAACTGGTCTAATTCCAGAATTTTTCTTACCATTTTCTTAATGATCAAAGTAAAAAAGGTAAACCGAATAAAATATTTTTTTATAGTTTCTAATCTTTCAAGGTACAAAAGGATATATCCCTGAAAAGAGTGCTAACAGAATTTTAAAAAGTACACCCTATCTTAGGTGTTTACTTATCTTCACCTGGAAATACAGTTCTACCAGAAATTCAGGCTTGAAGAAATAAAAGTATTTATGAATGCAAGCTTATTTTAACAACATATTTAAACTTCAAAAGTCTCAAATAACTACACTCCTTTATCTTAAAGGAAGGTTTACAATTTCCTGGAAAACACAAAACAACTGTAATCATCTTTTCACGAGCCAGTCTTTGGAGAGCAATGGACATAAATTATTTCTCATTAACTCACTGCTTCCAAGTCCATGACCACTAAGTGAAAGCCACAGGGTTCCCAAGTATCTGCCGTTCACAATGGCTTTTCCTCTTGCAAAATTCCTACAGTACAAAGTCATTATCACCAACTCCCCGAAGAACCCCAAGGATGTGAGGTTTGGGGTGATGGCTCACAAAGAGGCTAGACAACAGTAATTGTGACGAATGGGACCCACCTGTCCAGCTTTATATGATCCTGAGGTCACTGCCGCGAACCAGCAAGAACAAGGCCTCTATTCAAAGCACTGGGCAAATCCTGACCCTTTCTGAACAGCAAGCCATTTCTAATAAAATGGAGCTAACACACGGTTTTTAACACAAACCTGCTAAAAATATTAAGAATTACCCACTCGACCTTTGCATATTTTAAAATCACTACTCAACACAAAGAAAAACAGGGGGGGGATAAAGGGATCCTGTTTCTTTTCACATTGCAGAAAAGGGGAGCCGAGTGGTGAGCACCTGCTTGTTGGGGAAGGCGCGGATGCAGCGGGTCTGGTACTTGAGGCTGGACTCGCGGCGCTGCTGCACGTAGCCCATGTTCCGAAGGTCCCACACCAGCACACGGCGGCCAGCCGTCCCCACAATCAGCCTGTCTCCAGACACTGAGAGTGTGTACACCTTGGGAGAGAGAGATCGAAACTTGCTAAAAAATCATTTACTTGACTGACTATGGCATTTTGCCCCAAGGTACAGTGCATCTAATCATGAAAGCATAAAAAAGGTTAGCGCATCAAGCTCTGAAAGGCAGGGATCAATCTTACATCCTGTTATTCCAACTAAGCAGTCCACACAAAGGAAGCGAACACAGGATGTGCCTAACCCCTTCTCGATCTCGTAACACAGGTTCTAATTCACCCATAAGGTGCTACTGAAGACTTCATTTTCTTCGTTATTAAAGCACATTCAACTATTAAGCCAATTTATGCAGCCTTCTTGTTGAGTCTAACAAAAATGGTCTCCCCCCCCCCAAAAAAAATAAGAGATTAAGAAATAAAATAATTCAGGTTATCATCCAGCAGATTTCAGGCTTTTCAAAGATTGGTGGCTATTTTACTTTTTACGAGCAAGCATCTCAAAAGAACATTTCATTTTGTAAATCTTTAAAAATCTTGACTTTCCCAGCTGAACGTGGTGGATGGCGCATTATCAGAGAGTGACTTAACTGGTTTATATGAACTCAAAATTAAAACACAGGGAGACTGGCGTGGCACGTGACAAGGCACATTCTTCTGCCCTGATATCAGAAACACCTAAGATAGGAACTCAGTGTCAAGAAAAATTGTTCAATCATTTCTTCCCCTAAATATGTTACGGTATGTTGGTGGTTTGTTTTTTTTTTTTTTAACCTTATGCCTTTTCCAATGTTAAAACAGCTTCTGTAAAAAGGTCCTTCTACCAAATCATGGCATTTCCTGAAATCAATATCCAAAGTGGCTTATTTTCAAATATATTATTACTTGGGGTCCAAACAGTTATCAAATTCTTAAAAATGATACAAGAAAATTTTCCCTATTAATTTTTTCTTTTTAAAATTTGTATAGTTCCACTGACATTATATTTCATTCATGTATTTCTCCCTTACTAATAATTTTTAAGCTAGACTTTAGACACATGAACTGTATTCTACATCATACTTTCAATTAAAAAATAACTAATTTAATATTCTGAAACCCAAAGATTCTAAAAATTGTAAAAAGACCTCATGGCAAAGACATCTCTGTAACATTCTGTAATTAAACCATGTGGCATGTTAACCATATAACCACAGGTCAAAGAGCCATGTGAGAGACTTAAATCAAGGATCCAACACTTTCTGTAATATAGCCTTCAAGTGTAATCTGACCTGGAGATACAAAGAATTGAAAGGTTCAAAACAAACCTTTTCTTCTGGTAAAACTATTATTTTGGACCTTTCAAGATTTGTTATTGCTTAATCAGAAAAAACACAGTCAAATGAAAATTAATTATTAGTATATCAAATAACAAACGTAAGTAGAATCATAAAGAGATCAATTTATAATAGTACAATTGTATCGGGAATTTTTTTCTTAAATCTCTACTACACAGGTGACACACAAGATTCTAGCAGTCCTTTCTATCCCCACTGATCATAAATCAAGTGAAACCACTGTCATGCTACTGACTAGGTATATACATTTATCAAAGAAAGTATTAAAAAAAGTGACATAATGAACCTTGCTGAACCAATAAGCAGCTTGATTCAGTGTGGCTGTCCATTATATGACATTCTGTCAGCAATTTATCACAGCTCTTAACATGTTACATACAACCATAAATCAAAACTAGAAACAATGCAATTATTTTATTCTGAACAAAGGTCTTGCCAGGAGTAGATTCAACTGTGATGTGACAAAAATAATGGCTCCTGGGATGCACTACAGTATATAATGATGGCTACCAGGAACTGAATAGTATATTTACACAGAGGAAATAGACTCAAGTGAAGGATACCTTTAAACTGCTGAAACAATCAATCTTTAAAATTAACTACCACCTGGTAAGTCTGATGAGGATACAGTGAGAATGTCCAATTATACTTTCATCATCTGGATCAGAAGGTTAGAATAATACACCAAGTTTTGGCTTTAAGTAGCTTGGTTCACCAGAGCCTTTCAAACTACATTTGTCAGCACTACAAAAAATACAATAAAAGACAGGAAACATGACGACACTCTTCTCCCTATGCGTGGGGTGATAAACCTTTTCACTCCCTTAACGATGAACTCAAACGAAACCACAGATCTTAAAATGAGGGATGACCACCCACTTCCGATTTAGGCAGATCAAATCCAATCAACAGGCTTTGCTAAACGACATCTCCAAGAAGGCTGAGCTACTTCTAAACTTTGAAGCAGTAACAACACGTGGGACTGAGTTAATTTAAGCCTACTGCTCTCCAGGACGGGACAAGTACAATCATCAGCAGAAAGAGTTATTCCTCAGGTCGTCAAGTGTCAGAGCCATCTTAAAAATTAGCACAGTACCATTTCCATGCAGTTCTAAAATAAAAATTCTGTCAATTATTAACCTCTAAATTGAAAACTATAGTCACTACACATGCATCATCATAGCAAATCACCCCAAGGACCACTTTAGCATAAAGTGCCTACCTTTTCAGGCTGAGAGAAGGTTCCAGCGTTACAAGGAGTTCTGGGATCCCACAATTTAACTGTCTGATCCCAACTTCCAGTAACCATCACATTCACTTCTGGACAGTATTCAACACACCTGATAGGGGCATCATGTGTTCCAACGAGATTGTCTAATAAAGAGAAAAAAGAAAACCCAACCCTTACTTTTACATCTCTGCTAAACAAAACTCCTTCAACCGACTGTAATGTGTCAGCACATCCCAATCCCACAGAAATGTCTGCATGTGGAAATCCTTTTCACAGCTTCAAAAAGGCATCTATTCTCTTCAACTTAAAGGACGTGCTTCTCCAGATGATCCACTGGCCTGAGACCTTCAAAGGCGGCCCAGAATCTGAGACTTTAAGACACACACTGTGTGTCTTGTTATTTCTTTCTTAGAGATTCTAGACTTCTTAAGACCTAAAACTTTGTCTATCTGCCTGTAACCAGCACAAAAGCTAGTATGCAATAGGTGCTCAAGACATACCTGTGGGATGAACAGAGAGAGCAAAACTCTGTCCTTAGAGTACTTGACAAAACACTTACCTAGAGCAGTAAAGTCAATGTATTTAAGAAACGGACACAGTTACAGGATTATCTGAGAACCTGGGATGAGGAAAGCAGGAGTCTTATTTCCCTTGGTTTTCATGGTAAGAAACTTGCAGCACAAATATTCTCTCAATCTCAACTCTGTCACTGCCTCACCCTCTCATTCACCTAGCATTTATAAGTCTCCAGCAGGAGCCATCTTGGCAGCACTCTGGGGTACGAACCTTCAAGTATTAAAAACATGTCATTTATACATAAAGTTTGGCAACCATCTTCCGAGAAACAGCAGGCAAATCCCTGCATGAGAGCCTGTAATATGGAAAATCTATGCGGGCTTCCCAATGGTTTCCTTCCCTCCTCAAGTTATCAAACAATTAGGACCTAAACCTAAATTATGACACAGGTAAAGCAGCCAGCAAACAAAAGCACCCATAGGCATAAATTACAACATAAAGTAACTTTAAACAAAAGCTTCTCCTGATTCAAGGTGGGTTTTGACAAAATGTTGTACTCATTTAACTACTTAAACTCCTATTATCCAACTCAACTCTGTATTCTATAAACTCCTTCAAGCACTTTTATGTCTGATACACCCACAAAGCAAAATTTTAAAAGGCTCAGCTACCGGTATCTTTGCCTCTGAGGTCTATTCCAATCTGTGCCCAAGAGTCACCATAAAAATGGATGCTAGTCATTTGATACCCAGACAGACCTCAAGAAAATTACTTATGTCCCAAAAGAACACAGACTGCTACAGAACCACTTTCAAGAACACGGTCAAAGTCAAATACTTAATTCACGTAAGCACTTACGACAGAGCCCACAATGGGCTTTCTTTTGATACGTATGCCAGGATACAAATATCAGCATATGGATGATTTTGTACATGTAACTTACAAAGTACCATTCAAGTTAAAAAGGCCTATTATTCAAGTCCATTCTACCTGTGGCTCAACTTAGAACGGTCTCTCCCTAAACACTTAAGACACCACAAACCACACCACCTGGCACGGTAACCACCTGAGGCCATGTTACCTTGATCAGTATTCAAGTCGTGCACTTTCAGCTGGTGATCTAAGCCCCCACTCCAGGAATGAGTTGGATCCTGCAAAACAAAGTTTCAACTTATTTCAAATTTCCAAAGTTTAAAATAAAATAAAATTAAGAAGCTTTCCAACTCCTACTTGTACAGGCAACTATCTGGTTGACTCTCAGAATGATGGGCGCTGTACTCAACAGCACAAAATGCAGATGACCACGGGGCTGGTGTTCCAGGTCATGACAGCGGCTGGGCGGGGGGGAAAAAAACAAAGGCATTTTTCCCAAACCTTCCTCTAAAGGCCACACCGGCAGGGCAGAACTGACAGCAGCGCTCACCAGCCTGCAGTCTTGCCAGCCATGGAGAGGGACACCATCCGGGGATGGTGGAGTGTCGGCAAGAAAGAGCAAGACCTTCTAGGAGCTGGACTTGCATGGTGGCTGCAACAAAGGACTCACAGCACAGCAGTTTGTGAGGATGGTGCAGGATAGGCTGGGGCTCCCTATGAGAGCTTCCTGACACCCCAACACCTAACAGCAATGGTTAGGGAAGCGAACATCACCTTTCTGACCAGGAGAAAGGTGTCATCTTTCGATGCAAACTAGTATTCAACCACCACCTTCCCAGGGTTCTTCCTCACACTAAGGCTGTCAAACCTTACTGTTTCCGAGGACAAATCCCACTGCAAATGTCCAGGAAGAGTGCACGACTCCAGAATTTGTTTGTTTTTAAATTAAGACTCTGATGTCTGCCTTTTCGCCTTGGGTGGCTGGCCCAAGGCAGGTGGTGTTCCCAAAAGGCTAAGGCGCTGCCCAGCCACCCTGCGGAGGGCGTGGGTGCACGCCGTGCACAGGGGTGCCCCGGACCCCCACCCCCGGGCACCTACGTAGAAGGCGCAGTCCAGGACGGCGCCCGTGTGCTGGTACTTGAGGCGCATGGAGTTGGCCGGCACATCGTACAGGCGCACGGACGTGTCCCAGGAGGACACCAGCAGGAACTGGGACGTGTTGGGGCTGAACTTCACCGAGGAGATGCCGTCCTCCGGCGGCTGGTTCAGCTTGAACTCGTTCGAGCCGGTCATCTAGGAAAAGGGGTCCCGTGACTGCGTGGCCAGGCGTCCCGGGGTCGGGGGTCGGGGGTGGACACGGCCGGTGGCGGGACAGAGAGGACCCCGCGGGGGAGGGGCGGGGAGGTCCGAGCGATGGAGGCCCTGGGAAGAGGCGCCCGGACTCGGGTGAACACGCGTCCCGGGGTCGGGGGTCAGGGGTGGACACGACCGGTGGCGGGACAGTGTGGACCCCCCGCGGGGGAGGGGCGGGGAGCACCGCGCGATGGAGGCCCTGCGCCTGCGCAGAGCCGCCCGCGCGCCCCGCACCCCGGCCCGCCGCCGCCACCCCCTTGCCCGCGGGGAGCCGCCGCCCTCCACCCCTCCCGCGAGGCCCCTAGAAGAACAAAGGCAAAGCGGCGGCAGCGCAGTAGGCGCCGCTGAGGGCGGCTCCGCCGGCTCCGACCCCGGGCGTGCCCCGAGGAGCCGCCCTGCTGCCGGCCGCCCCGGCTCCTACCTTGAGAACCGCGAAAAAGCAACGGCGCCGCCGCTCCCGCCGCCTCTCGGAGCCCTCGCGGGCCGCACGCAGGAGGCGGGGAGGAAGCTCCAGCGGATGCTTGCCATTGGCTGATTTCAAACGCCAGCGTCCTACTCGAGGCGGCTGATTGGTCCGTTCAGTCAAGTTGACCGCCGTCGGTCAACCCGCCATCCTCTTCCGGCTCAAAGGGAAACCGCCACTTTTCCGACCACGTGGTCTCGTTTGCCTCCCGGCCTGGAGAATGCAGGCGAGGGCTGGACAAATGCAAACTACAACTCCCAGCGAGCATCGCGCCAGAGCTGCGTTCATACCTTCTCCCGCCGGCGAGCGGCACTCTGGGAGTTGTAGTTGCCCTCTGCTTGGTCTGGGTAGTGAGCGGGAAAGATGCTTTTCCAGCTCTAGTGGTGGCACTTTTCACTCTTAATCCATCAAGAATCCTATTTTGGTCCATATTCCTATATGACTAAGTGCTCTCTTTCCCAGGATGTTCAGAAGTTAACCAAAATTAGAGTGGAGAAAAAAAATAATTATCCCACTTTTCCCCCCAGTTTCCTGGAGTGTCCATCTGGGAACCAGGTTCTTGGTTTCTCATCGTTTTAGATTCTGTTGGTTTCACACAAACGCAGGTTTTAGCTTTCCATTTGCTCTTTCTGCAGACATTTCTTGAGCTCCCACCCTGTGCCAGGCCTGGCCCTTGAAGACTAGGCCACAAAGGTGGGCAGACTTGGAAGACAAGGAAGGGTTTACTCTCAACTGCCATTCAGAGAGATGTTTATGAACCCACCCCACTGTTCAGAGTTGCAGGCCTATGATGCTGCAAAAGTTTCTTGAATCCTCTGAAAATAAGAAGACCAAGGAAGTTGCCTCAATAATGAGAAGGATTCATTCCTCATCAAAGGAAAGTAGTATTTAATGTATTGGTCAGACGCAGTGACTCGAATGTAAAAGATTCACTGAGAATGTTCATTTCCGTCTAGGCTAAAGTCCCTTTCCACTGCCTTTTGTGGAAAAACATTTGCTTTTGTATGGAGTGGGAGGAAATTGTTGGGGTCAAAGTGCACAACTTTAAAGGTAAACTAAAGAAAAGTGTTCTTGGACTTCAAATCACATCCGGATTTAAGTGTACTGCTCTGGTCTCTTAGTGATGAGTTGGACTTGTAACCCAAGTACAAGCACCTGCAGTTCTAATCCACCAGCTGCTCTGGCAGTGAAAGCCTCTGAAACCTGCTTGGAGGGTCAGCGATGAGTCAGTTCTGACTCTACAGTACATAACAACAACCCACACTAAACACACACTACAGCATCAGCATCCTTCCTTCAGCCTGGTGAAGGATGATAGGAAATGTTCTCACTCCCTCTCTCCTTCCACTAGTCATGAGACTTGGCTCGCTAGCTTTTCTGTCATAGCAAGTTAATGGCTAAGTTCAGAATTTATAAAGAAAACATTTTTAATGGCATGTTTTGCCTCCATTTTAACTTTGGATAAATAATTTTATCTCCTGGCTTATTTGGTTGCCTCTGTCCATCGTTTATTTAATTCTATTAGTGTTTGGAGATTCTGAGCATAAATTACCAGCTAATAAAATCCAAGTGTATTTCATTATCCAGTGTGTGTATGATTCAGGTCCCTCTGGCATGCACTTGCAGCCAGACTCTATTTGAGTTTTAGGAAACGTCAATCTTTTAAATCCAGTTTTGGGCTTGAAAAGAAGGCCAATGATTTCGCTGATTATTCAAATGAATTGATAGTCTTGAGGTAGGAAATCTGGCAACCACGGAGCCTTGAGCAACATTTTAAATCCGAATGCAAAGCCTGTTTTTGTTATTGTTATGCTCATACTCTGCCACCTGTGAGAGAGGAATTCCTAGCACTAATTATTCTGTAGGCTCTGGGTTCACCTTCAACTGTTAATTTCTGGGTTAGTACAAAAAAAATCAAGCACATCCATTTTTTAGCAGGCTAGGAATGGGTCATTCCCTGAAACCTTGACAGCAACATCACTCTGAAGTGGCTGGACAGTGGCCAGAAGAAATTACTTTCCGTAAGATAAGTGTCCCAGTACATGGTTGCTTAAAAAACTACAATCTACAGAAATGCAAGCAAAAATCGTATGGACGGAAATTTCCTGTACAAGCAGTTCTATAGATGCACACCGATTTTTCCTGCGTGGATTTCTTGGGAGTTCGATTGTAAAGAGATCAGCTGGAAGGAGATAAAAATATGTACACTGTAAATCAGAAGAGACCGGATCCCATGCCTCCTTCCTCTCTGTTCCATTTTTAGCATAGCACTCAGCACGTACTAGGGACCAGTAAATACCTATTGAATTGAGGTAAATGGAAATGAAACAGATGAGATTGAACCAGTTTAATATTGGCAGATGTGTTTGAAGGTAACATCCTTCTGACGTCACCATGGAACAAATTGAGATTTTTATGAAATCTAAAGTAAGGATGGGGTGGGGGGAACTATCTCAAGACTCGTCAGAGCAGATCCAATATTCCAGGCAAACATTTTAAACAAAGCATTGCGGGTCTCAGAAGGGGTTGGCATAGTCTATACATGTTCACAAAATGCAGATAATTCCCTTGCCTCACAGCTCAAAGACAAGTTTATCTAGCATGTTTCCCAGGCAGTGGCTGAGATCCAACCTCAGTGCGGCGGACGCCCAGGCCCTCAGTCCGGTATCATCTGGCACGGGCATGGTCCGGAGCAGGACCAAGGAGTCCACCCTCTCGGCTTCAAACCATCGACCTCCCAAGTCCATGCTTCCTTTTCCCGATGTTTCACAAAGAAACAGGTGGCGCGAGAGGCTGGGATTTGCATGACAAGGTTTGTTTTGCTCTCAGTGAGCGCTCTCCCAGGCCAGGCGCAGCCGCAGTTGTCCGGGCGCAGGATCCGCGGACGTCCCGGCTGCGCGTCATGATTCCGTTCAGCCTGAGAGGCAACGCATTCGCTCTTGACCCAGCCTTTAGCTGAGCTATGCACAAATTCTTAAAAACAACCAGATTGAGACCTCCCTAGACTCCGGCCCCTATTTGCCTAGCCCAAGACTCGAATCCCTCTTCCGGCGAAGCGCAGACTAACCACTCAAATTCCCGTCTCGCGCAGCCGAGCGCACCTGTGCCTTACCCAGGAACTGTGCGCAGCTGCAGAGGGCGGGTCGCGCCTGGCTCCGGGCGAGCAAAGCCGCATTTTAACCTACTCGAGAGATGCGCCCTCAGCATGCCCTGCGCCCTTATAGAAAGAGCGGAGCGCCTCCAGACCTTGCCAGCACTCAGCGCGCTCTGCTGCCTTGGTAAGCCCAGGGCGAACCCAGTACTTCGAAGAAGCAGATCAGGTCGCTCTGGACGGTCTGGGGAGGCCCTACTTTTCAGCAACGAGGCCCGCCTCTGTCTTCAAGAGGTCTCTGAAGAGGGAATCCGCCCTAGTGTGTTAAAGCCAGAGCCAGAACTCAACTCCAGGGAGTGGAGGTGGGATTTGCAGCCTCCGCCACGCGCCACATCAGACCATACCAAGCCCTGACCTGAACCCCTGGCCGCAACCCCACCCTTTTCGTGGATCGCCTACCCCCTTTCCCGATGCAGAGGCCTTCAAACCTTTCCACGGAAAAGAGAGGACATCTTTGCCAGATGGCACATTTCGCAAGTAACTCCATCAAAGTTGGCAACGATGTTTAAAATGTTTTATTTTTCTCTCCTCTTTAAAAATATTTACAGATCTGACATTTCCCCTTTCGCCTCTACGCATCCTGAGGATAAGGGAAACGAAAAGAGGCGGCTAGGTCATTGCCCAAAGCCCCTGAGGGACTGGCCTGGCCAAGCGTGTGTGCGTGAACATACAGGCAGGTGTAGGTATGGAGTGTGGTGGAAGGTGAGCCTAGTTTTGTTGGCGTGTTTTTTTGTTCTGATTTTTGTCTACCAGCCAAATCGAAGTAGCCAAAACGTCCCCTTCCGCTACCACCCGCGAACATCCCCTCTGCGTGGTTTTCAAAGAGCATTGGTCGGGTTGGGTAGACAGCAGGCGATCCGGCTGGGGAATGCCTATAAATACCCGAAATATTCAAAAGAGAAAGCAGGGCTGAGGCCATAAATAAAAGATCATGAATACACACGGTGTATATATTGCGGGAGACTCGCCGCACGACCCCAAGCCCGGGGCAGGGCGCAGGCCGGGGCGCGGAGGCGGCGGGCGCAGCGGGGCGCGGGCGGCGCCGTCAGTAGTCAAGCTTGTTGTAGAGGTTGTAGAGCGGTAAGGCCGAGAGGTTGCCGCCGGGGTAGTAGAGCGGCGCCGGGAAGGCGAGCGAACGCGGAACGGGCACGCGCAGCAGCGAGCTGTCCCGGAACACCAGCGGCATGCCCACCAGAGTCTGCGCCGACGCGTGCGCCATGTTGGCCGCCTCCAGCTCCGCCGAGAGCTGCCGCTTCCACTTGTTGCGGCGGTTCTGGAACCAAGTCTTGACCTGCGTCTCGGTGAGCTGTAGGCTGGAGGCGAGGCAGGCGCGCTCCGAGCTGCTCAGGTAGCGCTTCATGTCGAAGGTGGACTCCAGCTGGTACACCTGGCTGCGCGAGAAAACCGTGCGCGTCTTCTTCTTGGTGGCGCCCGCCTGTCGCTCGGCGCCGCTGTCCCGCGGCCGCTCGAGCCCTGGCGACGGCGAGCCCGCAGACAGAAGCCTCTCTTTTTCTTCCTTAAAGTCCTGGTGCGCGGGGGAGAGGAAAGGCGTGCGCTCGGGGCCCGCTGGCCCTGCCGCGCCGCTGCTCTTGGGGGGACCTGCGGAGCGAGAACAGACAGGAAGCTATGGAGGTGTTGGCGCCTCGCAGACCCCAGGCCTCACAGGGTCAGGGGCTGGCAGGCGCCCGCAGCCTTGGCACTTTTATCAAACCCCTACCTCTCCTTTCTTGCTGGCACCCAGAGCCCAGAACCCTGGCCTTTCCAAAGTGACAAGGGAGGGACCTAGCGTTTAGGTCTGAAGTGTCAATTTGGGGTCTTTTTGAAAAGACAGGCGGCAGCAGGAGAAAGTGGCCTGAAGGGGGGACAGTGGCATCGTTGTTACAGGTGATTTTTGCCTGTGAGAATGGGGCTGGAAGCACTTCCCAGCTCTTCAGGGTAGTCTTTTTACTGGGAAATCACCTAAGGACCACCGCAGGCTCCCCTCGGTCAGAGGCGGTTCAGAGGAACCTTGTGTGAAGCGCCCCCTTGCCCGTCATTACTGAGGAGGGAAGCGGGAGAGAGGGGCGAAAAGATACAGAAAAGAGCCTGTGGTGGAGACGGACCAACGCGAGGGAACCGCGCTTGGACCCAAGTTCCAGACCGGGGCCAGGAAAGAACGAACTCTCAGACGTGCAGAGAGGCTGCAGGGGGGTGGGGGGAGGGCATACCGCGTGTGCGGCCTTCGGGTGCTCAGCCCGCTGTGGGCCCCTCTCCTGCAGCCCCACCCTCCGTCCCTCCTAGACCCCTGGCCATGTAGAGTCCCTGTCCCTTGCCTGCAGGCGATCGGCCGCGGTGGGGACAGGCCAGCAGGGTTCCCGTCCCGCGGGCCCTCGCCCCTCACCCCCTTCTCTCGCTCTGGCCGGGTCCCGCTCCTTACCCAGGCAGGGAAAGGGGATGGGGGCGTGGTGCTTGGGGCTCGGCTCCTTGGTGCCGTGCGGGTCTGGGCAGAAGCAGGCGGGCGCCTTCCAGCCGTCGTCCGGCTCCTCCTCCTCCGAGGACACCGACAAGCTGCGCTTCCTGGCCGGCCAGCCGCTGGGCTCCCGCGGCGCCTCCGAGGGGCCCCCGCCCAGGATGGACTGAATAGTGAAGCTGGAGACGCCTCCGGCCGCCGGACACCCCTTACCCGCATCTTCCTTGCTGCCCATCCTGGGTTCATAAGAAATCAGAGGAAACCAAGAACTCCCTTTAGAGACGATCTGGCAGAAGGTGGTGCAGGCGGGCGGG